TGTACAAAGATCAGCACACGAATTAAGTACATGTACATGAAGGCGCAAGTGCACCCAGGTCATTTTTGCATTTATTGCTTTGAAGAAGAAAAATCTGTTAAAGTAATAATGATCGTCTGTCTCAATCAACTCCTCGACAATTTTCATTCGCAGTTTACAAATGAGTCTGTCACTTATGAGTCTTTGTCACGTCTCATATTCAAAGTTTCCAACAAAAATACAGAAATATGCTTTTCATGCGAAGAACACGAAATGACCAAACAAATATTTCGGTGGAACTGAAAGACGAAAGTGCATGGGGGCGCACAATTGGAATATCAAAAAGAGTTTTTTAAATAACTGTAAGATATATTTTACGATTTAATAAATGTTCATGTGAACATTTTATTTACATCAAGCTTCTGTTATGATAATGCACATTGTAATATAAAAAATATCTATTACATAAGAGTCATCGCCTACTGCCAAGGTTATTATTTAAATTGTAATATTATGCGTCATCTTTGACATTACTGAGCCAATTTCGATCAAATTTTCCATACTGCATCTTTGAATTAGGAATCAAATTGCAGAAACAAATGTTTTGAATTTCAAGGTCTCCGCCAATTTGAGGTCTAAAGTATGGAGTCAATCACGAAAATAACTCTTTTTCTCAGCTTTTTGCAAATCTAGTAAACAAATTGTTTGCACGATAATAACAAAGAGCCGTTTACCAAAATGTTTTTCCATTCCCCTCGATCATGAATTTTGGCCAAAGGCGGGGATAAGTTAATAAAAATGAATAATTATTTTTTTTTAAATAGAACTTCTTTACTGGACATCTTAGCCTACAGATTGTTAGCATAATTTTAATGAGAGATTATCTTACTACCAAACTATTTTTTGGTTCCCCCATTGGTCCAGATCCCGTGAGTGTGGGGATAAAGTATAATTGAAAATGTATTTCCTCAACAAAAAAAATTCTAAACATTGACATCTTGTTGACAAACATTTTCCTTAGAGCTAATCCTCCACCAATCTGTACGTCATCTTTGTCCCCAAAGTGCAGGTTTTCATTCAGGGCGAAGATAAATTTAAAACCGAATTCTATTTTATTAATAGATTATAAATTGGCATTTAGTAGACAAAACCCTGGAATAATTCATTATTCCAAGCAATTAACCCTTGTTTAAATTTGTTAAATTCGCAATCAGACCTTGATTAATATTAAAAACCAAGTAAATAAATGCAGTAAATAAATTTTGAAAAAAAGCTCCTAGACATTTAGCAGACGAATTGTTAATATGGGTAAACATGTACATATTGAGAAATCAGGCTCTACACTAAACTGTGAAATTTCTCCTCTTGTTCATACTGATGTATAGGGCTAATTTTAAGTACATGAAATCTTTAAATCTCTTTCTTTCTGTCTGTTGCCTCTAGACTTCTACCAGACGAAGCATATATGCAGGATAATATGTAGCATTGATCATGAGCTTGTTACTGAAATTGTAAATTGAGAAGCATGCAATTGACTTATGTAATGTTTAGGTCAAGAAAAAGTTTTACACAGGTGACCATTAATGTCCACGGGCCCCTTTAGTTTTTTTGTTTGTTTTTTTTTTTGTTTTTTGTTTTTTTTTTTTTGTTTTTTTACCATGCATATTTAAGAAACATTATGGTATTATTCATTTTATCTATAATGCAAAGTGTGAGATTTTCCAGATCGTAACAGAACACTGATTCTGAGAGAAATCATGAAGACAAAAACTGTAATTACCAATTCATGATTCGATGTTCTTAAGCTTTACAATGCACATCTTTTTTTCTGCAATTTCTTCCTTGGCTTTCAAATGCGCTTGTCAACAGTATCTGATATACAAATCATTTTCTGTTTCCTTAAACCTTGCAATTGTTTTCTAAAACCATATTTTCCCCCTGTACTTCTAACATAAAATCAATAAAACCACGTAATGTATGTAGAATTTCTCATTATAGCTTTGACATGTGATCACATTAGACGTAATATACGTCGACAAACACGGGAACTGATGTAATCATTAGGTCCTAAAATCCTGTTATCTTCTGAATCACTTTAACACAATTTTTTGCATGTTTCTAACAGAAAACGCATATTGCAAAGAATGGCAGCGGTATTTACGAAGAAGGAATGATGATATTTCTTCAAAAATACAATGTTAAGGAAATAAAAAATGCAAAAAAATAACAGTTTTCTATTTAGTTTTGGATAATTTGTTCAAGTTTGAAGAAGAAATACAGCAAGAAAGCTTTTCTTGCAGAGTTATCTAATTGAGTTATTTATTGAATTTCTATATTTTCCACCTTTCAATAATAAAAAAAGAAAGACTTAATTTCATTTTAACTTGACCGAAACCCTTTCAAAGGAAAATGATTTATGAAATGTGTTAGAAACATTTTCTACTACATTTTCTACTGACTGACATGAAATGAATATTCTCTAACATATTGTAAGTGTTAACAAAATTATTAAAAGGTAGAATTTAGCACTAAGTATGTGTATAACAGTATAATTATATAAAGCTTAATTAGCTGTATTTTTTTTTTAATTTCCTTTCTTTTCCGATAGGACAAAATCGCTATAATTGTATGAAAAGATTAATATGAATAATGAAAGGGGTTTTTCATGAAAAGTAAAAGCTTAGTAAAAGCTTATACATGTAGTATATTATGACCATTAATTATAAATGAGTCATTTAAAACTTTCAATATACATGTAACTTTTTACACGAGTAGACTACATTATACATATCTAATTTTGTATATTGGTTTTTGGTTTTGATGAACGGGGTTCCCAAGGTTATTAGAAAAAGACCATAGTTATTAGAAAGAGAAATTTCTGTGAAATTCTTTCAAAACAATATTCCTTCTACAGTTTTTGTCCGATTACAATACAATACAAGTAGATTTAGATAAGATACACGATTTTTTGTGTCGGTTTTTGGTTTCGATGAATCGTATTACCATGGTTACTAAAATAGAAAATTTCTGTGAGTTTCTAAAATAGAAAATTTCTGTGAGTTTCTTTCAAAACGCTTAGTACTACTCCTACGATTCGATTCCAATATAACTGGGTACACAAGTAGACTACAATAAGATACATAGTTATGCGTATCGGGTTTTGATTTTGATGAATAGTCTTGCTATGGTTACTAAAAATTTCTGTGAAATTCTTTTGAAAAGCTCTCGTTTTCCTACAGTTTTGATCTGATACCAAAAAACTTTTTTTCACAAAAGTAGGCTTTTCTCAAACACATTACTCTGTTTATCACTTTTGATTTCGATGAATGGTGCTGCATGGTTACTAAAAATAGAGAAAATTCTGTGAATTTCTTTCAAATATGCTACTCCTTCTACAGTTTTGGTTTGCTTTCAATAAAACTTTCAAAATAGACTTCACTAAGATACATAATCCGGTATACTGGTTTTTGAATTTTAAGAATGGTGTTGCCAGTTAATAAAAATAGAAATGTGCAGTTTTTGTCTGATTGCAATTAAAATTGTCATAAAAAGATACTAAACCAAGGATCATTATTTTATATTATTGGATTGCAATAGTTTCAAGTCCAAGTGCTACATGTACTTATCTCAAGCTTTGTTGAGTAAAACCAGTAGAGCTACAGTCTCGTCAGAATTGGCTTGGATTATATTGACGAAAGGTATAAATATCGATGCTTATTAATCATATTCCAAAAGATGATTTGGCTACTGCATGCGTAAACTGTATGTGTAGTTGTTTTGGGAACGAGTTTTTCTTTACAGTAAGAGAAACCTCGTTTTTCGACCTCAAATTGGCCTTCAGGAAAATGAAAATTTGCAAACCCTATTTCATATCCATATAACCAATTGCAATCACATTTCAAAAGATGATTTGGCTACTGCATAGAATATAAAAGGAGTTTTGGGAACCAGGGTTTTCGCTGAAAAATGTCTTTTTTTCAACCCCAATAATTGACCTCAAGGATAAAAAAAGAAAGATAATTTCGACACCTAATTGCACATTTACAAGACACCACCATTTATAATCCAAAAGATGATCTGGCTAGAGAGTTCTGGGAAAAGGATTTTTTTTTTAAAAGAAAAACATCTTTTTAAACCTCAATTATTAGCCTTAGGATGGAAATAAAAAAATTGGAAACCTTAGCGCACATCTACGGTACAACCAAAAGATGATATGGCTACTGCGTAAAATGTAAAAAAAAAAAAAAAAAAAAAAATCTGGGAACCAGGTTTTAGCAGAAAACAATTGGCCCTCAGGATAATTTTGCAAATCTACAGGGCACCGCCAATCACTCCAAAAGATGAATTGGCTATTGCTTAAAAAATGTAAGAGGAATTTGCTGAAATGGGCAGTGAACTGACGGATAGAGATACATGTAACAAGTGATACAGTATACCATCTTCGCTAGCCAAGGGTTTTCGGTCCGCTCTGCTCCCCACCGAAAACCCTTGGCTAGCGAAGATGACGGTATACATTTACCCGAACTTTCTCTAGAAAGTGCGAGTATAATGGTCAACCGTCAAGAACTCGTTAATGTCTGTCATACAACACCACTGACTTACAAATGTTGTAAATGTATCTTAGGACAACTTTATCAATTAAAGCAGAGGGAATATGTATCTAATTATCCCGGGTATAGAGAATTGATTATCATCATACCGTGTAAAAGCTACATGTACTTAGGAGGTAATCTGTGTATCGTATCGTGTTATCGCTTTCCAGTTGGTGTCAAAACAAGGATTCGGTGGTTCGTTAACCCTTCGTTTGATTGACACTGCCGATAGTATATCGTTCTATTACTATTCTCAGACCAAAAAAAATTGCCATATGAGGTTAAAACCGAACTAAAAATATCAGGTTTCATGATTGGTTTCCGGCGTTCTGCGAATCTTTTTACGGAAAATTCGTCTACGATCACCTGAGGTCTTTACATGTGTTAGGAACAGTGTGCGACCGATCCTGATTTACAAATCGTCTGTGACCGTGACCCCAGAGGTAAATACTGTGATACAAAATACCGGTTTGACAGTCTTTACCTGTCAAGTATACCTGGAAATTTATTTTTCGAAGAACACTTGTTTGAAAGTAACAGAGACTTAATCTAACAGGTAGGAAAACAATTTGTACATAAAAACCTTCTTCTGTCATAAAAGGGGTTAGGCTTCAACGAAGGGATTTTAAATAGCAAACAAAACGAAATGAAAGTTGTATGAATGACTAATTTAACAGTTTAAGGGGTCGATTGCTGTTCATTCAATTCTACTTTTTGTTTTTTCTGCTTAAAATATTAAAAATAGAACAAAAATGTAACAGACGGTATTGAACAAAAATGACTCAGAAATGAATATTCATGAGAAGATCGTACATGTAGAATATACTCCGGATTGTTTAAAGCTATGAATTCATTTTTTGATTTAGTTGAACATTAAAATACCGTATAAATTGAAACCGTGCATTTTTAAAGTCAATACAAATACATTAAGTGCCATGATGTCAGACAATATGCCATAATCTCCATCTAGTTTATACGAAACAAGAAAAAGATTAATAAGAGAGAAACGAAACTTAAATACCAGACTCCTTTCATTTTCTTAAAATGTCTTTCCTATAGTGTGAATTGATCCTAAATCAAACACAACCTTTATCAGGTTAAACAGTTTTGTACCTGGATACACGCCTACATATGTACATGTAAAGGACACTTGTTTCAGTAATAGAAGTTTACCCCCATAGTATAATAATGAAACGAAAGTCGTAGTCGATGATTTCAACTTTGGTTCCCCTATTTTTTTAATTCCTTTTGAAACTCTACAACATATCTTTCAAGAAATAGGTTTAAATATTCATTATGACAAAATAATAGGAATGCGCTATGTTCAACTCCAAAATAAAAGACGTTATGAATATAATAACACGCGTATTTAAGATTATTATGGATATCGGAATTCATAATATTCATGAAATATCATAAATTTATCACTCTCTTATAAGGTGTGGAAAAATTAAAGTTTCAGCCGGTATAATGGAGCTCCAGGTGTCTGATATAACACTCTGATTTTAGCAGTATGAAATTCATAAAGCGTATCTTGACTTTCTATGTATTTAAAAGTCCCCTTTATGACAGCATTAAGAGCACAATGGGTCCCTGTATTCCATAAATCCTTTATATTCTTTATCATTAAAATCTGTTTTCTTTTCTAACGTATAAGAGCTGTATTATTTATCTTTATCAACGTGCCTCTTCCATCCTTTACCGTGTCTCCTATTTCTAAATTCTCTTTCGAGTCTTTTGGCTCTCTCACATAAAACTTCAATGAACCCATCATAAAGTGAGAAGCAATTAACGATGGGGAAGTGTTTATCGTCAGACCATGTGACATGGTATTTATTTTTGACTGATAAGTTCCCTCCAATCAATGAGATATCGAATCTTGCACTACGCTAGCTCCCATAATTTTCGATAGTTAAAACTATTATCAATCCTATAGTCATTAAGGGGGTGTTCTCACATTTTTCGTCATTAACTATAGATTCAGTGAAGAGTGACTCTGCGAGCTACTTGGAGTATTAACATAAAAATTTTAAACTTAAGGTAAGACATATTAAACTTGTTTATTCCGATTGTCTTCTCTAAACTGTTAAGTCCTCATTTTGCGTTGTTAATGTCCAATTATATAGGTTATCATAACTTGTGACTAATTTCTGCAGTTTTTAATCAGTATGTAAATTTTCATCCTTCATAATTACGTCAGCACAAAAACCGTCCCTTTTACTGCCATATGCCTTCCCATAATGAAGCAATATTTAGCAATTTCTATTAAAGGAAACAAAAAGAAAAAAATCTAAATCAATAAACATGACATTTTACACCGTATCCAATGTTAATAATATGTTAATAATAGAATTAAATTGTTTTTTTTTTAAATTTTATATTAACAATTTATGATACAGACAACAAGGTGAAGATTTAGGTACTGAGACAGACTTTTGGGCTTTCATACGAAAAAAAAAATGACGATATGTCCATGTTAAATGGGTTATCTGTAGAAATAATCCTCCATTTTCATTACTGAAACAAAATGACTATCCAAAAACTGCTTTTAGGTGTGTTTGCGAGAGAACATTGCACAGTTCTTGAAGGAAAATGACCTCTGCATAGCATGGGGTCGTTACCACGAGAAGATCGACACTTGCAAACGCAGAAACCAATATCCCACTCTCTCGATGGTCGTGCAAGTTTCTGCACGTGTTTCTCATCATGATATGTATGGCTTGTGTTCCTCACTGATAACTACCTTATACTGGTCTAGGAAAAATAATTCATAGGGTTCAGAATGCGGAGTATGCCTGTGGCCGATAAGGCCCTGATATGTATCTATAATTGCTGCCTAATAGATACCAAATTTATATTTTTTACGAATTTAAGTAATGGGTTTTCATCGTTGAAAGAAGCATTATTTTCTCTTAAATTTTATTTCATGTATTTCTGTGATAAAGTAATATTTAAAACTACAGAAGCACTTGATATAATCATATATCTTTGGAACTGTATTGCACAATTTTTTTTTCATTCGAGAGCCGAAAAAATTGAAGTTTCATTAATGTTTTCCTGGCAAAATTATTTAAATGTTAATAGAGTTAGCGAACAAAATAAAAAAAGATATAGAAAATATGATAATTTATGGTAAATGTCCATTTAAAGACTTTCATGTGAAATCCTGTCTTGGTTCAAATTTTCAGATTTCTTTTTCTATGTTTTGACTTTACAAAAAATGAATTTCTTAGGCGTTGTAGACATAAATATGAGATGAATTAGTCTCCCTGATACTACCACCACACACTGTGTACTTTGAGCTAGAATTATACTGGATGCCATATTGCATGTATTTGCAAATCATTTACGCGACTGGTTTTATAGCCCGTAATATCGGCAGCTTATATAATGTTACACTAGGTCTCAAATCATAGTTATCGCTCAACATTATTTGAATAACTTGAGTACTAATTAGCCAGCAACTCAAGAACCCAATAACTCTGCAAATGTTCATTCTTAGATATTCTCGCCTTTTACTCTTGATAAACAGCTGATAAATGATTGCCATATGTTTGTTTAAAAAAAAATCTGTACTAATTGCAGACATGTAGCGCAGATTGAGCATGTTGAGTGTATTTGCAAACATGTTTAGTGGCTTTCTTCAATGGGAACCAGAGGTATCGGTAAAATAAAAAACAGAACATAAGCTAGACTGTGTTTGCCTTTAGTTTGTGTCATTTGGTGCAATGTTTATGGCTCTTTTATAACGATTTATCAATAAAAAATTAAATGAATTCTTTCCATTATGTGGAGATTATAAACTAGATATTGCACATGCCAATAATTGCAAGTCTGTTTTTACACTATTTCGCATAAAATAATCACCGTTTTCTCCGGTATTATTAACTTTTCCAGTGTCTTGGGAGGTGCGGCAATTTCATGGATAACAGTTAACCATTATATGTATGACAGGGAGTCTGTCAGGGCTTATATTTATTATCCTGGGAGGATCATCTAATGTCAGAGTAAACGTAGTGTGGGACAGATTGCTTAATTAATATTTTGTTTTCAGTTATTTTTCTCAAATGTAAAAGTATTTTAAACGTGGGTTTCCCAAATTTAAACATATTCTTACACTGTTTGGAAGAATTAGTAGATGATTATATGTGAAGTGCAGAATTTCTAATTCGATGGATTAATAAATGTACGTAATAATTTGCGTGGATCTGATTTCCAGTGAACTTGTATGTCACAATATGAACCAATATGTCTTTTAAATTATTTGTAATTCATACAGAAGATTAAGAAGTTGTTGAGTCTTCACGAGCAGATAATAAAGCTTTTTCGTTCGACAAAATAAAGAGCTCAAAATTCTTTGGTTTTGTATAAAATGGTTCGACATTTTTTTTTGTTAAATACTCTTATTTTTCGCCTTTTTCTGAATTCCTTAATAAGGTCTTATTTTTATGGCTTTAAGGCGTCAAATACAACCAGTCACATGTTTCTCTGTTGATTTTTTAAAGTGACCGGAGTCACTCAGGTGACCTATTGCTATATGTATCTGTTCGTCCTCGTCCGACGTCTAGCATTCGATCGTCCGTAGTAAACTTTTCTGAAAAAGCTGACTTAATGTCAACCAATTTTGATATACAGATAAAGAACAGCCAGTTTTGTGAATTTCATATAGTTCTAGCCCATGCTTATTAGGGACGGAAAATTAATGCAATCTTCTGATTTCTGGACCTGGAGTGAAACTAACTTAATTTGGCTTATGATGAAACTACTCGTAACGTCTATGAAAATGTTCTCCTTTGGCATTTTGCTCATGGAAGTCTAGCTGACAAGTTGATGGTATGAATATAACAAGCAGTGAGTCTTCTACCAAATATAGCATTCCTTTCCCCTGGGTTGGATTCACAGGTACTTGTGGACAGGACCCCCCCCCCCCGAATATGTACCCCACGGGTCAATATATATATATTTCCATGCATTTTTTTCGTAAATTACTCTTCTATAGCTAGTACACATTTACAATGTATTCCATAAGAAAAATCTAAAAAATAACGCAGAATTTACTTTAAAAAATCATACCCGCGGTAATACCTTAATTCTGCGTTATTTTTTGGATTTTTCTTATGGAATACATTGTAAATGTGTACTAGAAGAGTAATTTATGAAAAAAAAATACATAAAAATATTTTTTGACCCGTGGGGTATATTCGGGGGGGGGGGGGGGGGTCCTGTCCACAAGTACCTGTGCTCTTCTGCATTTATTTGGTTCTTTTTAACATTATATAATTCACTGTTTCTTATTTTAAAAATATTGATTAAAAAATTACCCAGCTTGATAAGCAATATATCATTCTCATTAGACATAATCCACAAAAATTATTTTGTTATATTATGTTATATATCGATGTTGAAAATGTATTACACCCCTGAATGAAACTTTTTTATCTTTACTCCTGGATATCTATTTAGAAAATTCGATAGCATGATTATAATGAGCAGCTAGCCCTCAACCAAAATTGTTACATTCTTGTTCCCTTCCTCCAGAGTTGATGCCTTTAAGGTAGGGCTACATGTAAGCGGTTGGTGAGAATCTGATGATACTCAGGTGACTTTCAAGGCCCATGGACCCTTATAAAAATTTTGAGGATTTATTTTAACTATTGAAACAATGTTTTTTAGCAATCTGCAAATGAAGTTATGAAGAATAAATATTTTCTGTTATGGAAAACATAAGTGTACATTCTGGATGAGTCACGTGATTGATGGATAGTGACAGCTACGTGTTCTAATTGAATGTTTGAAGTGAAGCAGAAAACGTTCCTCTTCTTTCGGCATAAGCAATCATTCAGTATAACCTAGAGGTGTCGACAGACAGAGGGGAAATACATGTATATGTACAGTGTAGCTAATTGTGCCGAAGTAAGCTGGAGAGCATCTCAATAAGCTTATACCCAATAACTCAATAAAAAGTCAACACAAATCGACAGTTATAAAACATACTCACACACATTTATACGTATATACATTAAGTACAACAAAATAGAGAAAAAGCAATGACAGGGAAAAAAGAAATAAAGCGAAGCACTCAAACGCAAAATTAAAAAAAAATGAATAAAAGTTTTTAAAAAAAACAAAACAAAACAAAACACGACCAAAATAGAAAAAAAACCCCACAAATGTCAATGCTAATTCGGTAACAAACATGTGCTGCTTTCTGCACGAAAAACAGACCTTATGATCCTCCTTTGTACATGTAGATAATTTTGTACATTAAATACTTTATAGGTATAATTATGTGTATTTTGTTCTTTTTCCTTATGACAGACTTTCTTGAAAAGTGGACTCTGAAACGAGAATTTTGATTCATTTTTTTTTCAAGGAACTTGGTCTAAGGGTAAAAGCGAAAAGAAAATAACTCAAATCTCTCTCTCTCTCTCTCTTTCCAGAAGGGAATCACAAATAAGGATTTAAAAAATTTTGTTGGATGTTGTTGTCTTATTTATTCATTTTTTTTTTTTTTTTTTTTTGGTGTCTCGGTATAATATTGCAATAAAAACTTTATCTCTTTCTTGTATGATATTGATATTGACTATACATTTGTGATGGAATTTTGTCCTTAGCGTCTCAGATGTCGACCTATCATTATCCATCACGATTCACGATTCTAGACACCTTCAATCAATAAAAGTTAATGAATGGCGACAGCTGAACACCTTGAAATGTTTTCCTCTGATTGACAGCTCAGATGATATCCTTTCTACAAACAAAAATGTTTACCAGGACTTCTCTGTAGGAAATAGAAAATTTATTGAAAGGTTTATCATATTCACAAACTGCCTTACTTTCAATTTGAAGATTTACGTTTGAATAAATCATAGAGTTTCAATTATCAGATACACAGCTGAGTGGCTCAATTTGAATAAAAATGCATGCAAGAATAGGTTTATAGTCGTCGTTAAATGTTTACAACTCGAAATCAACGTATTAGAAACACGTATGAACAAACACATAACTTTTATACTGCTACACATTTCTCTGAAAAGACAGCGTCGATTTGTAATTTTTGTATAACTAGCGCCTGTCATAAATAAGCCTTCAAGGGTTATTTTATTTTTCGTAACATGCAACCGTGATATTTGGTTTAAGATTAAAGAGGAAAGTTTACTAGCGCTATCCAGTGCATACCAAAGTGGTCGTGAAAACTTAGTTTTGAAGGATTTCATCTTTGCAGATTGAGTTGGCAGAGAATATGAAGATTCCGCCGGATTTTGAGCCGGAGACTTTTCTGAAGAAAACATCGGAGTTTCCTCAACCTAAAAGACCCCGGACAAGAAAATCTGACCTTTATTCTGGACCCTCTCGATTTCGAAATGTTGATGATCACGTTCAAAAAGTAGGATTTTGTTAAGTAGAATATATCTACATTTTTTGTACAGTATACTTGCTGAAAGATCGAAAGGCTGTATAAATAGACATAGCAAAATGTTGATTTTGACTTCTAGTCTACCTTTACTCTACCTCTTTATTCTATCAGATAATGTTTTCTGTTTTAAGCTTTGTCTAACACCAGAAAGAGCCTTCAATGTGACGGTAAGGTGTCGGTCGTCCATCTGTCTGTAAACAGTTTTTCAACATGCTACTCATCCTATAGTTCAGATCCGATTTTAGCAAAATTTGGTACATAAGTAGACTACATTAAAGCTATATATGGCGTAACTGAGCTAAAAAAATAATAATACGAAAATAAGTGTAGATATACACGATATATGTTATTTACGTTCCAATTAGAAAATTCACCGATTTGGAACTTGATTAACCTTACGTTTCTATAATTAAATTGACTTTAAACTTTGTCTTATTTAAATGTGGAGTCGGTAAATTAATCGGTCATTGTTTTAAATTTTGTATGTCTTTGAAATTCGATTGATTTAAATTGTGTAATTTAACGGAAAGTCCTATCTTTATATAAAGTAATAAAACAAATAGAAAGATCTTGTTAATTTTGGTTATCTGACCTTATCAAAAAATACGCCATATATGACTTTAATATTCGTAATTCTTTTCATCAGTTTATGATTTTGACAAAAAGTGTCGCTATGGTTACTAGAAATTATTCCGCTTTTCCTCCAGTTGGTCATTTAAGATGATGACAAAGTAATTTTCATTGGCTATATCCGTTAGTTCAAAAATTTTCTCAAGAACCAATGTGCCAGAAAAAATACCCATCAAACCTAATTCGTCATGACCTCTTGGGGCTTGGATGGAGCTGCAATATGGGGTCAATAAAAATGGAAAATCATTTAAAAACCAATTTAAAAAAACATCAAGATTTAGGTGAGCGTGTGGGCCTTGGGCCTCTCGTTTAATATGCTCCCTTTGTCGATCTTCTGGAAAGAATAGTTTTATTGTCCTATTTGTCTTGATCTTTTTCTATTTCAACCTTCGTTATGAATTTGGAAGTTTTAAACTTAGAAGTTTCCTATTTGTTTTGATTATATATTACTACCATAGGATGTGGCATAACACCTTGATTTTGATTTTTAAACAATTGCATGATACATATTATGAAAGTTATATTATCTTTTAAACATTGCACTCAGATACATTAAGTTTAAAGGGTTTAAAGTATCAAATTATGAACATGTAGTATACCATGAATCTGAAACTAAATCATTTGGACAAGGTCAAAATCAATTATTTGGAGGACTGGTCCATGACTTTGAGACTGAGAAGAAATGAAAGCATAATCGTTATTAGAAAATTGCTTATGATGGCGATGTAACGTGACTCCGAATCAAGGTCATCTACAGATCAGAGAAATTTACAAAGTATCAATTTACTGAGTTCTTGTATGAAATTTTACATTGATCTAGTCTTCACGGAAAGTATATTAGTCCCGTAATTGGTTATCATTTCACAGGGTCGTATAGTCGTCGGCTTTCTCTTTTTAGAAACATTTACCGGGTAACACATCTGGTTCTTTACTAAATCTGTGAAAATGTGTAAACATGAAAACATAATTTATTTTCTCTATTTTGCATCTTAATTCTCATTAATTGTTCTGATTAAAACAAATTATAATGATGTCCCAACAGTCTAAAGACTTCTGGTGACATATTGCTATCTGTTTTCGTATAATTAACATCCGAGGTCCCTGCGTCATGGGAGAGTGCCTCATGTGTTATTAAAATACCGATGGACTTTCTACTAAGCTTACTCGTAGCTCAAAGAAACGAAAGATAGAGATAATAGTTTTCACTTTAAGAAATCCCTGCAACAGAATCAGAAATAATAAAACTGACAGAGAAGCTAATATGTGTCTGAAATTCTAGAATTTTATGAACATAACAGGATTAACTTCAAATTTTGAATATAATTTTAATTTATTTGTTCGACATTCATTGAAATAATTATATATATATTACAAAGAAGAGATTCACTAAGATTAAAGAACTTGTATCTATTCCTTTTGTTTTACAAAAAAAATATGTTTAAAAAAGACTTCGGTAAAATCAATGATTCCAGATTATTTACAAAAATAAATAAATAAATAAATAAATAAATAAATAAATAAATAAATAAATAAATAAAAATACGATGGCATCCTGAAAAATGTTCTCTCAAAATTTTTTCTGTATATATAAGATTTAGAGTTTCAAAATGAATGAGGAAGGATCCAAGTGTTAATAATATATATATATATATATATATATATATATATATATATATATATATATATATATATATATATATATATATATATATATATATATAAAAGGAAATAACAGAGGTCAAAGTTCGACTTCATTATGCAGATAGGAATAAACTTTATAAACCCTTTCTTTAAAAGCAACAGGCTAAAATTAACTGTTGCTATGTTCTGAAGATTCAAATCACTTAAATTTTGCCCCCCCTCCCTCCCCACAAAAGAGGGGCCACACAATGTGAGGAGTAGAAGTATTACAATAAAATTATGCATTGGGAGAAATATTTCGGAATTTCTTTTGTTGGGATTAATCAATATTTTTTGGAATTATCATTCAATTATATCCATTTAGTGTTCTAGACTTGAGGGGAAAGGATAAGACCAAATTAATATGAAAAACTCGTGTAGTGGTTTATTGTTGATTCGAATTATTCAAATCAGGACGCTTAGGGAGACTTTATATGTGAGTGGGCTCAAAGTAGATAGTAAATACTAGTAATGGTGCTGGAGATGGTTTTAGCCACATCAGGGACTTCTTGCAATAGATAAAAAAGGGGAAAATTTTAAATTAAGAAATTGTTACAATATACATGTTCAAAGATGACCCCCAAGGTCTCTCGTTTAAAACGTATACTGTTTTGTACAAAATCTAATGAGAATGCCCAATAAAGGCTTATTGTATAGTTTTATACCAGAAATATTCTCAAATTACTTGTGGAACGTTTAGGAATACCAAGGGTATCTGTTTTTCAGGTGGCAGCTGTCAATCACCGATCTTTCCGTGGCTTGTTGTGGCATCTTCTCTACTGTGACAAAAACATCAAGTCTGACTTGGAAAAAATCAGGTAAAATGACACACTCGGATGCATCATTTATTCCTGTATCTTCCTTCCAATTAATACTTGCCTAGGCCTGTGGCAAATCGAAAGTTTTACAAAAAATCCTCTGGGACAATATAAAAATCAGCACTGTTCTGAAAAAGTTGTCATTTATGATTTTCTGTGGTCACAGAAAAAAATTAGTACGTGTGATACCACCATTTGCTGATGCTGAGGCATATCAAAACTAGTCATTTTTAAAACACCTAGAAATCAGAATAAATTCAGTAATGTGGTAACGTAATTCACGTCCATACTATTTTCTGTTAAGGTCGATCCACTGATAAGGGAGATAACTCTAATTGGGATACGTAACTAGTATTCCTATAAAATTTAAAAGTATAAAAATGTCAAGTTAAAAGGTCATTCATATCAAATCTAGACAACCCCAAGGTATGCCGAAATTGTTCTCATTTTGATTATAAATGACATTTCTTTTGGAAAATCATAAGAGTTTAAGAAAAATTTTATTTGAGTGAGCAGGGGGATGGTGAACCTTAAACCTCTCTTTATTCACTTATTTTGTCGAGTGTATTTTTCTGACGCATATAAAAAAAATCGATTGATTGATTCAGTGATAAAGATGACAAAATATTTCTCGTGCTGTTTGTAAATGTTTCGTCCTGCTTCAAACAGAATAAAGAGACTTTGATTTTCACGTAAAAAAATAAAATTAAAAAGGATACCTACAGAAAGGGAAAAAGAGAAAAAAGAGTCCAGAAAAATAGACTCGATATATAAAGGACATGGCTGAATGAACTCTGTATTATATATTTCAGGGCCATTTACCGATGGGCAACCTTGAATGGAGGCGTAAAGCAGTGCTTTGAAAATAATCCAGGTGCAAACACTGCTGAAGAATACATTAATAAGTTCCAGGCAGGGAAAACCACACATTCCCAAATTTTACAGTTGTTATGCACGTAAGCACGATAAGTTTTTTTTTTTTTTTTTTTTGATAAACACTGCGTTAAACTCGATTATTGTCCCTACCTTTTGAAAGCAGGGGGCATTAAAACTCATTCGTTCGTCCATCTGTCTGTCCGTCTGTCAGTCTTAAAAACTTTAACCTTGGTCATAACTTTAAAAATGACAAAATAGGGCTCTCATATTTGACTTGCAATAACGGCATGACCTTTCCATATGTTAGATGTTTCTGAACTCATGACCTTGACCTTGATTCTGATCTACTTTTCAAAGAGACCCAGAAAGCGGGATCGAACCACATTCCTCTGAATTTGCTTGTTTTATAACTAGTATGACATTATGAAAGCACACATATCTTTTCTAATCTAGCAAACTCTCAAAATGATATAATTTATCTGCTTTACTGCACAGTGGTACCGGAGAAGTCAGTGTTGTAATGTAGGTATAATTCATTTGAAAGGTTAAAAGTGAAATGTTATTTAACCAGCGGCCATTCTCTGGCAAAAAAAGTGTGGACGCATCTGTAGGTTGTACCTTATGTTTAATTGAAGAGTGTCATGAACCTGACCAAAGCTTATTTACATTGAACATAAGGTCGACAATACGGGGAGGGGATGACGCGTAACAATGGTATCATTTTGTGAGCAAAATAACAGTGTCTTTAGTTTTTATTGAAGGTACCAAATAGAGAGTTCCGCAGAATAAACCAGACGGAACAAAATAAAAGTAATCGAACTTCCGTACATGAGAATACGAAAACTTTGTGTAGTTTGTATTTTTGGAGAAACAAGTGCATATGTTTGCAGCATATATTCTGAAATTAGCTTTTCCAGTTTCTTATAATATTTAATTCTTTAATTTAATACTTTAAAGAGAAATGAAATCAATTGCATCCTATTTGTAGCTTTGCGGGATTCCATTGTAAGATAGTGACGGGTTATGCCAAGGGAAGGTCCTTTCGCCCTGGAGATTCCTGCTCTGAGGAGAAGTTTAGACATTGCTGGAACGCTGTACATTTTGAAGGAAACTGGTTTTTTCTGGATGCTAAATGGGGTGCTCTGAATGGAAATAATGTAACTATGTGTTTGGTCTGTTAAAGGTTTCTTCCATAATTTAATAAACATTGACTATGTGGGTGATACCCTTATATACAAATTTCATCATTTTGAACAAACTGAAAAAAAATATGCAATGGTTGGATAAAACACTTAGAACTGTGTGTGGATGGTTTCCTAAAATAAATACTAATTGCTTTATTACATGTAAATGTTGTTTTGGAACAATCATGACTTCTGTTATGCGTACAATGTACCCATAATAAGGTAGAATTACATGCAATGCTGAGTCCGCTTTTTAAAATTATTTTTAACAGAATTCGTCAGATTGCAGTGAGTTCTACTTTCTGACAGACCCAGAGCAGCTGCAGTTTAGTCACTGGTCCGATGAACCAAGATGGCAGTTGGTTGACAGGCCGATCGCCATCAATGAATTCGAAAACTATCCATTTGTCAAACCACACTTTTTCAAGGTGGGACTTAATTTCATTTCGAACGTGAAGTGTTTGATAGAAACGAAGCGAGGCCAAGTGAAATGGGATATAGGGGTGACACATCCTGCCAAATTCAGCTATCGTTTGGTCTGCTCTGACACCGGAAGTGACATGATTGATGGTGTGTTGTTAAAAAATTTTATATTTCACGAAATACAAAATGGCAGAGCAACGTTTGTGCTGCGCACACCTGCTCCCGGAGAATACTATTTAAAAATATTTGCCAAAAGCTTACAAGAGAGAAATAGTCATTCTGGCGATACCCGGATGTTGGAGGTGCTAGAATATAAGGTCCAAATCAGCAGCCCTTGTATTGAGGATGACCCGTTACCCAACTGCTGGGACACCACCTGGGGCCCGGGTCAAAGGACTGACAAGTTCTGTCTATACCCATTACAGAAACGAGGCCAGATAACCACGGACGAGAAGACGGTCGACATTGAAATTAACAAAACCAGACCGGTCAACATTTTATGTCGTTTGTGCCGTAACGGATGGAAGGAATCCAAATTACAGAAGTGCATTGAAATAGAGGATAATGACACAAAAGCCTATTTGACGGTGTCTTTGCCTTATGCTGGAGAGTATGGGTTGGAAATTTATGGTTGCTTTCCAAACAGGAAGAAATCTGGATACCACCATGTATGTCAGTATCTTATCAACTGTTCTTGGAGGGACGAAAATTTCACACAAGAGGATTTTGAGCAATATCTTGAAACAGCTGAGGCTGAAGATATGGTTGGTTCAATATATATATAGTCAGATGTTATTTAAAATACCAGTGACAAACTAACAAAAGTGAGATCGTATAGTAAATATGCGTGTTTTACCTAAAGTTGAGATAGAAAGAATGTGATTTTCCCCTATACTTTAAACTAACAACCCAAGCAGCGCTCTTCTCATTTTTTACACTAGATGAAATCCCGCGCAAGCGCGGGGAATTGAATTTATACCACTACCGACAGAAAATATATTGTAGTTCTCTACTGACAGCCTACAGGCTTATAGTAGGAACAAATACTTTGTTCAAATCCCGCAGGAAGTAGATTTACCTATCCACCCCAACCCCCGTTTTTGTGTTTGTTTTATTTTATTATTATTTTTTTTAACTTGAAAATCATTAATTGACGTTTATTGTGAAACCTGTTATACTATGTTATGGATATTGTACTTCGGATGCTCTTATTTCATTTCCGTCAAGGATAAAAGCAACGAATATGCACATTTTTATAATAAATTGATTGGGGGGGGGGGGTTAAAAATTCACAGGTACTTGGGTCTTGGTTTATAAATATGTTTGTACCTTATTGATATGTAAAAATGTATTTTACTTTTTTACCTATCAATAATAGGTACATTGTACATACATATTTATAAACCAAGAACCAAGTACCTGTGTAAAAATTAGCTTTTAACGTCCTATGAATAGGCTGAGTATTTGATACAAAAGACTAAGCTGCAATAATGTAGCTCTCTACGATTTTTATTTATTTATTTATTTTTTTTTTTTTTTGTTTTTTTTTTGGATCTGATATTTTCTGGCCTCTCTCTCTCTCTCTCTCTCTCTCTGCCCCCCCCCTTTCAAAAAAGGAGAGGGCTACATTATTGCAGCTATAAAAGATTGTATTCAGAAATTAACTGTGCATTGATTAAAGCGGAAAATATTACATCTTTAATTGTATTTGAACAATACCTTTTTCATTAATTTTCTCTTTTCATGTAAGCAAGTTTATTACGAAGAACAAATTGTACTTCGGGTTCGTTGCCACGATGCTCTCAGTAAGGAATACATACAAATTTTTAGGAAAACCTACTACATACATGTATATGTAATAGTCTTTCGACATATAATCATATTCACAACTTATAGTGTTATCAGTGATTTACCATTATTTCAATTATGACCATTTACACAAAAGCTTTTTTATGGTCATGTAGCTATAATCGCCTCGTTTTTTTCTTAACATCGGGCTCGATGCTATATGATGTTCTAGAAGCTTCCGTCAATATGAAGATCGGTGAATGACAAAAATATTTTGCACATTTCCCTTTTTAATCGGTTATCACAGCTTATTTCTTTTATATAATTTAAATCGAGTTTTGATTGAATAATTCAGTGATGACGTTTTCTGTAATAAATAAACGATTGCTTGTTGTCAGTTTCATTAAAAATTGCCAGTAACTTAGATCCGCCAACCGGAAACGCCACCTTACTCACGTTTTAGCTATTTCATGGCTGTTTATAGAAAATGAAAGTAGACTTTTAATTTAATGTACGATACTTACTATGCGAGTGAAATCTAAATATAGTTTACGGACATCAGCTTGTATCTAGTGTATTGTTAGAGGAGTAAGTAAGAACTCTGGTGCACCCGTTTCGGAGTTTATTTGCAAAATTTATTAATTTATAAGTATAGATTTTGAAAACCGAGTACCCAATAAATCAGTTTAGTTTTTTTTACCAGTACATGTACAGTATATCTTAAAACGGTATGTTAGCCATGTTTGAAGTGCAGCTTAAAATATATATGAGAATTCATAGGTTTTGGTCATTATACAGGCATTGGAGCACCAACAACCAAATGTAATCACAGCAAACTTTTCTGAAAACTTCCAATTGCCTGAGATAAAGATTGACGAATCTTCTTTGCCAGAACCTTCACCGCGACCGAATGGATTCGAACCAAAAACTGCTCACTTTGGTTGGACCGTTGAATTGGAGGATCACGTTAAGTCGGTAAGATTTCCTTAGTATAAGATATTTCCTTTCCCTGTGACCCCTTTGTTGCTGCACCGCTTGACAGAGGGCGTTGTGTGCTGGTAGAACATGCCCTGCAGTCTGCTAAGATACTGAGCTTTAATTTCCTTTTTTGCTTTTTCCATTCAAGTTTTAAGCATTAGACCATTTCTTGTTTCCAATGGATGTTGGGTTGCAATTTGAAAGCTGTTACCTGATTGGCTAGATTTTAGTACGCCAAGAAGATTTCGCTAACGTCGGCCATTTTCATAGAGAGCGTGGTAGACCGAAAACGCGTTACCTGCGAAAATGGTGCAGAATACAGAAAACAAATTACTCTTTGTGGAAGCATAAAATCCCCCCGTACATAAATTGTTGTTTAAAACTGTGCTAAGCTAAGAAAAACTGAATATTTAAACCCGTTTTTAAGCTTCAACAGCTGAGTGATACTATCTTTCTTATTTTTTTTTTTTTTGGTTCATCTAAATGTGAAATACGTGTATTAACTCAGCGCATTGGTTGAAGTTCTGCTGCGAATGTCAATACACAATGCAAGCATCAAAATAAATCATCAAATGCATTTTTTATCAATTGGCGGCCATTACAAGAAGAGGAAGTCACCACAAAAGGTAATTTTCTTGTGTGTTTTAACGATTTGCTTACGCAGAAGTGGCCAGTAGCTATATTGGTTTTTGAAATTGTTGGTCAGGACATATTGTTAAAATACTGAAAATATTTCAAAACAAATTTAAATAATGATCGTAATTTTTACAAAATGAAATGAATATCATCTTCATGCCGAAAATTGCAATTTACATAACGTGTATATTATAATAAAAATGTACTTTAAAGTTAAACTTATTAAACAATTTTGAAAAACAAATGATATGCACATCGTGGGTCTTGAATAGAGCACACACACTTCATTCACATGCTTTTGCATTTCCAACTTTACCACAATTCCCAAAACTTATCTACATTTTTACTCATTTTCAAATTTATTTCGAACCATTCAATGATCTGTATTTACTTTTCCTTGCAGGAAATCTTTGACGATGCTACCTATGTTTAATGAGAACTGAGTTTCTGTTTGTATGATACAATCCAGTAACAAGACAAAAAGGATACAAAAAGTTTTGACGTTTGAATGAAGGAGCTAAGAAGGACATTCGTGGACGATTGTTTTTAAAATAAACGTACATTTCTTAATTAAATGCATGCAAGAAGGTTGCCAAACAGAATTACGTAACGAGTAAACATTTTAAAACTATGTCTGTATTTTGAACATGCACATTTTTTCTGAAGATGAAGTAGCGGCTGTACTTATACCCATGTTTTATAATAATGCATGTTTTTCTCAATCGTGATTTATTTCTTAAATTTAAGTTATGGTTCTTAAAGATTGAGAAGTAAGCCAAGTTAAATATTTATCCAAGGAAACAAAAACACGTGGATATATTATGAGTTGTGTTTGGAGAAGGTTCAGGGTGTAACGAGAAATACTTCACGTCAATAGCCTGTTAGTTTGAGGGTGTTTTGCTTGGTGTTCATCTCGTTGTTTTCCCTAAATTGCAATGTTTATGAAAACAACATTTTACTCAGACCTTTTTGGTGCAGTTTATATCGCCCAGTATCATAGAGTAATGTGAAATGTGAAGATGATCGAGTTGTAATCATGCCCAAAAGTGAAATTAAATGACACAAACTGAGAGCAGAGCAAACACGGACCTCTGAAAACATCCGAGGTGGGATCAGGTTACAGGGAGGGGTAATCATCCCTGTCGACGTCACGCCTGACCTCAGACCTTTTATTTGATCGGGTAAACCGAGTAATCTGTAGGAAATTCAGTAAAAATATTGTTAAAAAAATAAATACATGAGACCATAAGGGAAAAATGCACCTATCTTGCCCTGCTACATGTACATAAATGAGTTTGTAGGCTTGAAATTAAATTGTTTTTAAAATATTCAATCAGTTTTATATTATTTAATTCTGATATCCATATTTAATTTTTTTTTATAATCTTAACTTGATTGATGTGGATGGCAGCTTTTTTTCTAAAAAAAATTACGAGTGTTTTGGAATTTAAATATATGCATGTATCAATTTGCTATTATTGGTAGGACTTGTATATTGCCAGACTGGAGAAAGAAAAATTGTAATCTGTATTTTAAAAAAATGTTTCATGTAATTATATATTATTACGTAATTATTCATTATTCACATGAGTTTATTTGAAGAGATTCGATATTTGATTTAAAACTCGAATAGGGAGAATATATATGATTTTCAATTATATACTTTTATAATTTGAATTTTGTTTTTTTGAATTCCTTTGATACAGTAATTGTATAATGGTTATGGTTAGAGGCTTTCTTTGTCAAAGCCTTCCGTAGATATTCTATGAAACCTCTGTGTTGTACACTTTTCTTAATATATAATAAATTCAAACGGACGTTTAAAAGTTATTACTTATTTTCATTGTATTTCCTCCTACCAGCTTCAGTACTACCCGTGCAGTACAATAAGATGTGAGATTTCATTGACTTGTACTCACTGACAGGTAAACATTGGTAATTTGTGAAACAAGAAGAGGAAAAGAAAAATAAACCCAACAGGAAAAAGTGACAGAGAATGGAAAAATAGAAAACGATTTAATCTTTGAATAGCATTACCTTACCATTACCACTACCTATAAAAAAGGCGTCTCGGTTTTAATATAATTTTTTTTTAAAACTATATGGAAACTGCAAACAGTAGAATAAATGTATTGAGTAAACCTTCGGTTATCCTGGTAGAAGATCGGTTTTCTTTATAAAATAGAAGGATCAAAGCATCGATTTAAACTTAAGCATTTTTGCATTTGATTTGAAAAGGGCATGTTCTCAAGAGAGTTTGCGCACTACAGAAAAACGATAGAACTCGAGGGTGGTAGTAAATATATTGTTAGAACAGATCTTATGATTTTGTTATGGATTTTAGTTCATACGATTCAAAATTACGCAATTAACAGTAAAAATTAATAAGAATAACCTTCGTAATAAAGACAATGAAATGCCAGTTAATTTTCATTCTATCGCTTTGTGTTGAAATCCTAGTATAATTGTTTTACAGGTTTGTGAAAAGACTTACAGAAGATTCGACCAGCTGTTATGGGATCTTGTGTTTTCAAGGAAAATAAAAAGTGATGCAATTAAAGCAAGGTAATGCATTGAAAGCATATATTTTAGTTCGACGAAGCTATAAGCTCAAGTGAACTTTTTTTCTGTTCACCAGTTGTCTAACGTCCGTCCGTTTCTCTTTCCGTCTGTAAACTTAACTCTAACCTCTTCAGAACTACTGGACCAATTCAATAAAAGTTGGCTCAGAGCAACTTTGGGAATTCATAATTTTCGTATAAAGAGATATACCCCTTTTAAAGTTAGATAAATAAAAAGAGTAAAAACGGAGTGGATTTCTAAAAAAAAAAAAATCTTTAAATCTTCTCAAGAACAGCAGAGTTATGATCTGTCGTTTTAATATGCAGTCATTCCAAGGTAGTCAATATTCAAGTTTGTTCAAATCAATTGTACATATATAATACATTCACAATACATTTAGGGTATTTTTTTTTAAATCCTCCAATACTGTAAGGCCATATAAATCATAGGGATATTTTGAATCCACACGCAATGTGAAACCAAGTTTAAGCCATGATCCCCTGGTGTTAAGATGAGACCACAACATGGGATGCATATTTTTTTCATGAGAATATAAAGTGACTAATATTTTAAAAATCTTCAGAAGAACAAAGGGTCAAGATGACAGAGATGAGCCTAACAACCCATAGGCCTCTTGTTTTCAAGTTTTTCTAGCAGTCTGACAAATCATTGCAAAGACCTGTAGCTTTTAGTGCAATGGATTTTGTAACCCTTAATAATAGTTCAATGTAGTTATTTTTAAATTTTGTACAGTACCATATGATGCTTACATAAATATTTTCCCCAGAATTCTGTTTCAATGGTTGGCGACGATGAAACCCCAGAATTTGACCTTTGACTCGGTGGATATTGGGACTCCAGAGGAAACGCTGCGTGGCCTACAAACACAGCGCACAACTTATGCAATGGCCTACCACACGCTCTGCAAGTATGTCATCAAATTATTCAGCTGAAATTGGTGTTTATATGTTCAAGTCAGTAATTAAACTTTTCAGCCTTCCAAGTTCTGCGAAAAATGAAGTTGTAGCAGTTCAATTGTGATCCTAGTACATGTATGCAACTTTTTTGTAGATACTGTGGATTGATATCCCGGATAATATTTGGAGTAGCCAAGGGTATGGACTATAAACCGGGACACACCTTTATCCCGGGATCTAATCACCACACCTGGAACGCAGTTCTGCTGAATGGAGTTTGGGAACTGGTGGATACGAGATTTGCCAGAAGACCGATTCTGAGCAGTGTTGGAGGGGGATCCAACGTGCAATACGAGTTAGACAATCATTTCTTCATGACAAATCCTCAAAAGTTTATATACACTCATTTCCCAGACGAATCAAAATGGCAGATGTTAGATCCACTGGTTACTATGGAGACATTTTGCAACATGCCCGTAATGACACCACACTTCTTTGCGCTGGGGATGGATCTATTAAGCCATAAACAGGCATACGTAAAGAGCTCTGGAATTTCTACCATCGAGCTTCAATACCCAAAGAGAAAAAGACTGCATCTCACATTTAGTGTTCACTCTGATAATGGCAGCGAAGATTTTGAAGGAATCAAATTAAACAGGTATGCCATGTTAGAAGCAAACGATGGCAAAGTAACTTTCACTCTACGACTACCAATGAAAGGAAAGTATTCATTTTTTGTATATGCCAAGGAAGATAATCCAAACAAAGCTGACAACATGTTTGCCCAAGTCTGTGAATACCAAATTGAACAGGACGATGTATTATCTCCAGTACCCAGTCCATATCCTCCTTGTGCCTACCAAAGCTGGGGTCCTGGCATTGCTTTTTATCAATTCAATATGTCCACCGAAACCAGATCTGCAATCATTAAAACTATGAATGGTGTAGCAAAGTTCGAAATTGTCTCACCGAAGCCAATGCAGTTCCGAACACGTCTTGTGCAACATCAAGAGACCTCAGAATTTGAGGGATATGTTACATACAAAATCCAAGGCTTAACGACGATGTTTACCATTACGGCTCCATGTAAAGGTGAATTTGGTCTAGAAATATACGCCAAGGACCCGGATACAGACAGCAAGAAAATGAGACATGTTGCCCAATATTTGATCGTTTGTGACGAGGAGATAGAAACAGTTCAACTACCAAAGCTGCCCTCAGGGTTCCTAGGTCTGCAGCCGATGTTAGTTAAATATGGCGTCAGCACGATCACTCATTCTGATCCAGTTATTCACACGGATACAAATTTTCTAAAATTACGCTTCGGAACTTCTCAAAACATGAGATTTACAACAAGTCTCTTCGAAACAGAGACCAAAGCTGAATACTCCGAGTACGTTTTCATTCAATCTGAAACAAATGTTATCACACTTCTTGTGTGCCTTCCCAAGACTGGATTCTTTACATTATGTGTTCATGGAAACCTTTTAAGTGATAATAGCCAACAGATTCCAGGGCTTTTCAATTATTTGATTCACTGTAAAGAAGTGAAAGTCATTGCCTTTCCTTATCCAAAACAGTACGGATATTGGAAGGAGGGTTGTTCCATGATAGAACCACTTGTTCTTAAACCAGTTGAACAAGCAAGAGTTGTTCCTTTTAAGGTTCGAATCCCTAGAGCGACGACAGTTGCAGTTGTCGTTAATAACGACTGGACACCTCTGAATCATAATGAGAATGGGGACTGGGAGGGAGATATTCACATCGAACCCTCTGTGCAAGGGGGGACAAAAGCAGTTCTTGTGGCTAGTTTTGGAGACGATCAGTCCAAGTATGCAACACTATTGGAGTACAGTGTATAGACCTTGTATCTCAACTTTTATGCTAAATAACTACGGATACTACTTTATATGTCAGATTGTAGAATAGGCATAATGCGTTATCTTGTTTTCTACTTTTATACAGCATGAATTGACACTGGTCTATTGTCTTTGTTTTCACTACACTTAAACCTTCATTGACTGACACTGAAGAATACAGCCGTAAAGTGTAGGAATTGTGTTTGGTCATTTTTATTTTCACAAATTAACTTTGAAACAATTTTTCTCAAGGATAAATATGTATGTGAGCTCAAAATACGATAAAATAAAATACTACAACTTATAAGGCTTTTTATGGTTAATACCAGATTTGTTTGAGCTGAAAACTTATGAGAAATATTAGGATTAAAACTTTTTGAGTAGTTTTTCGCCGTATATGAAATTTTCACGTTTTATATTTTTTTTTCTCAAAAATCCAGAACTCTGCGTCAATAACAACATTAATTACAACAAAGCATTCTTGATTATAGAAAATTTTAATTTTCATGTGAAAAGCTAGGCTTTTATCAAAGGAAGATCAATAAGGAATAATGAGCGAAGGGTTTATCATTTAAAAATCTACTGTAAAATAACTTATTTACGTGCATTTTCATGATTTGAGAAAAAATTCTGGTTTATGGGGATTTGATTTCGTGGTTGAAGAAATGTAGCGTTGTCTTGATTACAATTTGAATACTTAGTGAAGGACATCTTTATACCTCAAAATCAACGAGAATTAACCCCCAAGATAATTAGTGATTTTAGAGTAGGCAAGTACCTCTATTTAAACAATATATACATGTACAGTTAATTGTGCTTAAGGTAAAACGCAACGTACATGTACTCTACAATGTACCTTTCCCACTGATAATTTTCCTAGATATTCTTAATTTAAAATCATAATACATCAGACGTTCTTGGATAAAAAAATAATAATAAGCAAACATTACTAGGAGTTTCGATACATATCAAATGATGAAAATCCTTGTATTTTTTAAAGAAAAATTGAAAAAAAAAATTTAGCTGGTATTTCCTCAAAATTTTATTCGAATGAGGTGTACAGCCTTACCAGGCATTCTAAAATCGCACAGAGGTCAATTATACAAGGAATAAGAAAATAAAGTTCAAAACTACGTTATATATATCCTTAAATCCCTTGTACCAGGATGTGGTTGTGAATTTGCAAAAATGTAACAAATGACTTCAGAGGAAAATGTTAACGGGATTTTTTACTGAACAGAAAGACTACAAAGAATTCACTTAAATACTTCTTAGATGCATTTATGCACTATCATGATTTTTTTCTCTACTGCTTCTACTCCTTCTTTGAATGACTTGGCAAATATGAAGGAAAAGCACATCAAATGTAACAAGTGTCACAGACAGAGATCAAAGTTATATATCTAAATGGATTTACAATTAAGATTACAAAGGAATTAAATATCATTGTAGCGAAAGTAACTCGGGAGGTCCTGGTCAGGTTAATCAATTAATGGGATTGAATTGGTATTTTTATTGGGATGGAATGCTTGTACATATAAGTAGCATTTCTGAGGACGGCGAGTAACATTTAAAGAGTGTAAGTTAACAAAAACCACGAAAAAGTAATATTTTTCGAAAAGGCAAACAAACCGAAAGCACAAAAGAAATCAGCAAACGATGAAATACCTATTTTTTTAAAATCGCAACAATGAAATATGTGGAGATAACGATCAGTATTCTAGCTCAAAAGTCCATTAAACATTACAAAATAGGAGTAGAGCAAACACGGACCTCTAAGACATCAGAGGTGGGATCAGGTGCGATGGAGGAGTGAGCATCCCCTGCTGACCGGTCACACCCACCGTGTGCTCCTTGTCATGATCGGGAAATAACGGGAAAATCCGTCGACAAATCAGTGTGTAAATAATGACCTAACAATTAGTATGAAAAAAGTCAGTCAGTATTTGACTTAATGAAAGATTGTTTTTGCTGACAAGATCATTGTATCAACCATACAACTTACGAAATGATGACTTTAAACGAGACTGCTGATATTCTTGTTTCATCAACTTGTTTGTCAATAATTTACCTCGTTTTAGAAATTGTTCATACCTAGAGCATGCTCTTGCGTATCGAATCAACTGAGAGATATAAACCCTGTATGCAGGTGGTAAGGGTATATTGCTGCACAAGTAAGTGAAGTTGACGATTGAAAAGTTAAAGTCATCAGGTTTGTCATAAAGTTTTGTTGTTAGATTACCATTAACGTCTTTTTCTAATAAAATATCCAAATATGAAACAGATGTGTCAGACTCTGTGGTATCTTTTTTTCTCAAGCTCACAGGGATATATTGTGTCGACATAAGAATGGAAATAACCATTGTTAGTTGACAATACGTCGTCGATATATCTAAATGTCGAGTTGAAGGCCACTGCAAGTGTTTTCTTCTTTTAACAAAAAAGATTTTGAACAAATTCTGCTTCATATGAATACAAAAAAGGTCTGCTAATAACGGGGCGCAATTGATACCCATGGGAATTCCTGTAGCTTGTTGGAAGACATGGTTCCAAAAACCACATAGATATTGTCAATCAAAAGCTCGAGCATCTTTTTAATGTCGACTTCAGAGTACTTGTGTGTACAATCAGATTGTTTTTTAATAAAGTATTTTTGCAAATGATCAATGACAAGGTAAGTAAATTTGCGAGTTCTATTTTTATTGACAAAGCAGCTGTAAACAATGTCAGAAAGTCTGGACTTTAATTTATCGTGGGGAATAGTTCTATATAAAGTTGAAAAGTCGTACGTTTTAATGTTGTTGATTTCGGTAAAATTTTGTGATTTCAAATGTTCCAAAAGTTCCTTGGAATTTTTTAGTATCCACATCTGATTTACACCACTTCTCGAATATTTTGTTGCACAGTGCTCTTGAAGTTTCTCCTTCAATACTGTCAATATTTTAGTGAGGAGTAAAGAAAGAGGCTTGATAGAACATTTACTGGAACCCGCTATGTATCTTTGTTTGTAAGATTTTTTATGAAGTTTCGGAATCCAATATAGATATGGTAATTCAAATTCATTTCGGTTGTTGGGAATATTAAAAATATTCAAAACTGACATATGATTTTGAAGAATTTCCTCCTTAGAAAGGGAGTTATGGGCATACGTTGGATTACCACTTGTAGAATTGAATCCCAGTTCCTCTAAAATACAATTTATATAATGAGCCTTACAAACAAAGAAAATGTTGTTACCTACTTGTCAGCAGGGATAAGTTCGTACTGATCGTGTAATCTATCTAATTCTTTTTTCACTTCTGAATTGTTCAATACAGAAGGATAGATGGATTTCATACTGCCCCTCAATCGTTTAATGCGAGATTTTAACATATATCTGATACATTTAATCCATTCTGACAACAATGTTGATTGCAAGCATTCTCATTTATAAAAGCTACAAAAGCTATAGAAATATAATAGTTACGTATATATTTTAGCATTTTTAAAAGCAAGGATGCAACTGATCAGATTAGGTAATATTCATGAAATGTATACATATATATTCCAATTTGCTCAAATTTTAGCCCCTAAGGTATTGTATCGGTATTTAGCAAAATGCCTTCTGATATCTTCTGAAAAAGACAAAATAAAATCAATCATTTACATGCAAAGACCGTGACGTCATACACAAATAGATTCAAAACAAAAAGTTATGGTCAAACCTGCAATACATGCAGTGGTTCTGAATTTAATATAAACATCTTTGAAACTCTTTCATTATTGAACAGAAAGGTTTTTTGAACAGTTAAGCAAATTCATACGTTTTACAAGAAACACTGGGTTTCTAACGGGTTCTAAGGTGAACATGAAATATGAATATAACTAAGAGGAATCACGCCCAAAAGTCCACTGAAATAACAAAAACTGTGAGTAGAGCAAACTCAAACATCTAAAACAGAGGTGGGATCAGGTGCCATTGAGGAGTAAGCATCCGCTGTCCACAGGTCACACCCGCCATGTGTTCTTTGTCATGATCGAGTAAACGGAGATATCCATAGAGCCACGATCTTTAAATTGGCGACAGAATTTCATTCACATTTTGAATTCTGTCGAAGAACTATGCCAGACGTAAGGCGAAATATAAAGGAGAAGACTTGGACACTTTATCGGAATGGATTAAGTGTTTAAGAAATATATTGATTTAAAAGAATCATGTTAGAAAGTTAAAGGACATTATGCGAACCACCTATTCTTCCGTTTTAACTACATCGAATGTGGTAAAAGAATTAGACAGACTATACAAACAATATGTTATGGTTCCAGCAGACAAGGCTTGTAAAAACATCGTCTTTGTGAGGTTCGTTATTTTAAGTATATTTTGGGAATTACTTCTAATTTTACAGCTGGAAATCCATCTTATTCTTAAAGTTCACTTCCCAGGCATAAAATTCTTCAAAATCAAATTTCAGTCTTTAATGCCTTTTACATTCCAGTGAACGATGGAGACTTCGATCAAACCTACCTATACTAGATTCCTAAACTTAATAAAAATTCTTACAAAGATGCATTGCCGGGTCCAGCAAATGCTCTACTTAGTCCCTATAGCTACCTTTACTCTACACAAAAATATGAATTTAACTGCTGTAAAGGAGATACCTCAGATACTGTGCTACAGCATATTCTAGAAGTGGTGTAAATCAAATTTGGATTCTGAAAAGCGTAAAAAAAAAAATAGAATCATAATTTTTTTTTTTCAAAAGTCAGTAACATCAAAAGATTTGACTTTTCAACACTTTATACAACCATTCGATCCTTACGATAAACTGAAAACTAGGCTTTTTGATATCATAGATTACTGCTTCTTCGATAAATATGGAACTGTCGAAAATTTTCATATCTTGTGAGTGGTCATCAACAATATTATTTTGTTAAAAATCGCTGATTCTACACACTAAGTACTCTGAAGCTGATATCAAAAAGATGCTGGAGTTCCTCATTGACAACATCAATGTATTCTTTGGAGACCGGGTCTTTTAACAAACTGTTGGAATTTTGATAGGCACTAATTTCGCTACTTTATTAGCCGACCTTTTTTATATTTCTATGAAGCAAAATTAATTCAAAAACTTTTACATGAGAAAAAAAAATATTATGGCTTTCAACTCGACATTCAGATATATCGACGACGTTTTATCAATTAACAATTATTATTACTTCCATTCATATGTCGATACGATATATCTAGTTGAACTCGAAATTAAAGACATTACAGCATATTTGAAAGTTTTATTGACTATGGACAATAAGGGCCAACTAACACTAAAC